AAAAATGCTGCAATATATCATGAATTTAATATATTTAAACTGGAACTAAGGAGAGTCAGTATCTATGCTTCAAGTTAATCACTCACATGCCAGGGCTGGTCTGTATTGGTGGCTTTTCTGTTGCTGCCTGTATAGAGATGACTGTTTGAACCCTTGTGCACATGTGTATTATGTACCCATCGGGTGGAATATCAGTAGTTGTTGATATTTTGAAGGTGGTTGTTTTTACTGGAAATGATTATGATTTAGGTATCATCAAAAAACTGTTCCTAGAGACACAAAACTTTCATCTGTAATGGAATGCCAATGACCAGAACATCCTTTTTTTTTAGATTCACTATATTTTGAGTTAATTAGCTCAGTGGTCTGCAATGGAATAGTAATGCTTTTAGTTTCTCGAGGGAATGAATATGAGGACCACATGACACTTAATAAGATAAATGATATAGAAATAAAGGACAGTTATAGTGCTTAGAAGGAGGTTATTCCAGGAGAAAGACCTTTGGAAATAAATTCAGAAAAAATTAATTTCTAACCTTGCTGGAATTCAAACCCACAACCTTTTAATTTCGGATTTGTACTACCGATGATCTAACAGCTGAGCTACATGGTCAGACTGGTAGCAGGTCAGGGTGGAAATCCCAGCGAGGTCGGAAATTGATTTTTCCGAATGTCGAAGTGTCTTTCTCCTGGAATAACCTCCTTTTAAGCAATATAACTTTCCTTTATTTCTATATCATATTAATTCTAGAGGGTGACGACACCTTTGGTATGAGCATTTGCAAACAAAGACTYAAAGGGTACCAAAGCTTTGTGTTCTTTGATAGCAATTTTTTTTATAGTTCATAAAAGTGCAAAGTGTATTGAAAAATTTTCTAAAAGAATATAAAGTMATACTTCCATTCCCATTCTTTGTGTCTCTATTCTAAAGAAAGATGATTGATCTTACAATTATAATGTTTGTTTTCATTAATCAACATTAATCAACATTATTTTTGCTTTGCAGAAGTGATGTAAAAAGTACAGTTGTGTCAAGAACAGCAAAGATTTCCAAGTTAAGTTCAAGACTTCGAAGAGAGTTACATCAGTTGCGACGTAGTCTGAGATCTCATCGGTATCGTCACCCCCTGGTACTGTCAACAGCAGCAGCTTTATTAAAGGCAGCACAGAGAGATGTTCCTGCATCTGTTGATTCTGTGATAGAATCTTCAAAGCCAAGGTAATGGTTAGGTTGCTTTATTAAAAAAAGCAACAATGTTATTATGAAAAGAAGAAAATTGTGAATGCAATGATTAAACTGGGTTGAGTTTTGTTTGCGACCTCATTCTATTGTATAATATATTATTATTTAGTATAATATATAATATATTATTTAGTATAAACCCACTAATAATCTGGYACTTGTCCTGCTTGCTGATTAGTTCTAACATTTGACAGTTTTAAAGTGCTACTTGCATGAAAATGGTCTTATTTCAAAACTTCAAGCAATACAAATATATGACTCATTTATATCTATTAAAAACAATTGCTGGAAAATATTTGTTTTGGAATTATCCCACATCAGAGAAATTTTGATTCAAAAGATGGAAGAACAAAAGGATGAAGTAAATGATGTCATCTACTCCAACTTTTTTTGCTCAAATTATTAAGGATTTGTATCAATATCTTCTTGAAATCTTTTGCTTCATGATTATTAGACCCATATGGATAGGTCTATTTGATTTCCAAGTCTTTTCTAATGTTTTGCAATTTTCGTCCAAGTGGCCTTTTAATATTGAAACAAGATTGAAATAAGACTTCTTTATATTGATTTGTCTCGATATACTTCCTCAAATTTTATTTTTATACATAATTGATTTTAATGSATTTGTCATATTTAGGACCTCTCCACCAACATGCATTGTAAAGAAATGTGCTTTTGCTGTGGAAGGAATTTCATGTGAACTAAATGCCATGCCATATACCAAGTACTGTCGGAACCGTATCCTTAACAATGAATAATTCATCATTATTTATGATTATCTTAATAAGCTTATATTCAAGGTGACTTAGCTCTGATAGGTAAGCCAGTGTCAAGATTTGCAAATGTAACATGTTCTCAAGATAAAAAAAAGTTGTGAAATAAGATCAAATTATAACTCTGTACAGTGACTTTATTCTGACAAAGAATTAATTCTTAAATTTAGCCAGTTAAAATTAATCTGGTTTCATAACTGTTTCTTTAGAAACACCAACACAGTTCATACTTGGTTACCACTAGTTTCCATCATGAAGATAAAAATATCTTCATTTTGGTTTTCAAGAATAGTACAAAAATTTCCCCAGTATTTGAAGAAAATTGGCAAGAATCCTTTTGTAAATAAATAACTTAGCCCACTCATGTTTTGTCATTGTTCCAAGACTATATTTTTGTGCATAAGTGATCCATTAATAATTCAAAGTGATTATTACTGCACTAAAATCTTTAGCTTCCAAAGTGATAAATTCAGTTTATCAGAAAAAAAGCTAATAAGCTTAAAAAAGACTTCATCCTATATCATTATTTTGTGTAGTATTGATGCAATCATGCAACATTGTACCATTTCCAAAAAAATACAGTCTGATATCAAGAAAAAAGGCCTTAATTTGAATTAAGATATTATCAATGACAATGTTCAAGTACTGTACTCTCAGTGTACAGCCAAGTGGCCTGGTGGTCTACAATGTTCTGTTCCTGTCTTTGATATTGTGCATGAAAGAGCACTTTGCCAAGAACATGCAAGAAAAAAGGTGATTACAAAACTAGTAGTTAGTACTGTGGGTTTTGGAGGTATTTGCAAATCAATGAAACTACATTTCAAGGTTTTAGCAGAATCCCCTTTCTTTCTCTCCTGGGAAAAAACAAAGTACACTTAACTTGAAGGGTAAAGGGTCGTTTATGTATATTCTGTAGAATTATATAAATKTAGAATTTCATAGGTCAGCGCAAGCCATTGGTTTGATTTTCAGTGAGGGGAAGAGGGGCCAAGGGGGGGGGATTTTGTGTGGATTCTTCCACAAATTGAAACAACTTTGGATAATGTTTTGATAGCTGTGTTTGCAACACTTAATATTGTAAAAATACATTAAACAATAATTGGACATTTAGGCCTTGTGTCCATGCAAACTCCAAAGGTGTGTGTTGACATTTTTTGTAACACTAACTTTTCCAGTTTTTGTGAACATAAGGCTAAATATACAAAATAATTTTATCATCATTGTTCTTTACTACAAGTTATAAGAACTGTTCCTTCACATAGATTATTCAACAATAAGTGATATTTGTGMAATGKTTGTAGGAGAAGTTTCAAGAAGCCCAAGCAGCAGCTGTAGAATCAAACAAACAACAAGCAAAGAARCCAAGAAAGAAACCTCAACCAAAAACCACTGCAGAACAAAAACCAAGGAAACCTACTAATAGAAAACCTGCTTCTAGGCCAACAAAATCMAAATCTGCCAAAGATGTTGCCAAAGCAAGCCCACTAAATAGTTCCTTCAGCCCCAACAGCTCACCAGCTGTATTTTCTCCTACTCTTGACATGCAAATGTCTGATTACTCGCACACTAGTGATCATTCTCCAGATTCACCCAAGCTAGGAGACTTGTCACAGTTTGAATCATCTTTATTTGAGCCTCAACAACAGGATCACTTGTTGATTCCTGATATGGCAGAACTACCAAATAATCTCACAAATGGTATCAACCCTGATGAAAAATTATTTGAAATYGATTTAAAGAAAGCCAGGTCTGARAAAACARCCATTTGGMTGCCGACTTCGTCAATACCAGCTTCAGTTATAACTGCTAGAGACAATTCCAAAAGCAATTCATTGTTAAATAGTAATCATATGGATATGCATTTGTTAAATTCTGAAAACACCTCAAAACCCTCACCTTTGAATAGTTCAAAGAGGGCTTCAAAAACAACCAAGAGTAAGAAGGCTGTGAAGAGAGTTACTGTCAGTCCTATTCATGGAATTATTTCTCCAACACTTTTGCAGTCTAATCATCTATCTAATGGTACCTCAATGACTTTTAATGATGACCCAATGCTTTCTTCATCACAAGAAATCTTGAGTGGTGAAATGAAACCCCATGGAAATGGCTTGCCGTCAGATCACCTGACCCACTCGGGAATTGCAATGGACTCTGTATTGTCATCACCTCATAAGGCCTGGTCATCTGTATCTAATACAACCAATGGCAACGTTGCTTATACGTCRCCTCTAAATTCACAGAACAGTTTGTCTAGAATCTCCTCTCCTCCATTTTCAAGAGTGTCGTTGTCTTCATTATCGCCCCATCTTTCACCTAATTCAACCCACAGCAGTGTTTTCACGTTTGACCGTACATCCCACTATCAGCAAACTAGTATTTTATCTCCGACKTTAAGYCCAGTGAGTCCATCATATCTGAATAACACTTCCCTGAAGCATTCTGTCTTCCAACAACGTGATCTTGACCCATCAAGAAGTGACGATCCATTTCTAACTCCAGTAGAAGAGCAGCCTCTGCTTGGTGTTYCCTTCCATCAGAGCAGTGACTCTTCATTGGGGGATTTAAGGTTAAGATAAACATTTTATATTTGTACATTTTAAAAAGTTTTATTCACAAAGTATTTAAATTACTATGTAGCAGTTTTCTAATCAACAATGATGTTCTAAAGTCCCTTTTTGGAATTCCTTTATGTGGCTACTCAAAGAATCCTGACAAATTTATAGGATGTACCAATATTTTCAAAATTAGTATTTTTATTATTTTTACCTTTGTCATGTGTGTTGTCAACATTTGCATCATTCTTGAAAAGAATGCTACATTTTCCAGATTTTGTGGTTCATATTATGTCAATGGGTTTTTTTTTCAAAATTGTATTGTACAAATATTGTAAATTATCAGAGTGGATCCTCAAAGGAGTCTGTAAATTTTAAATGTCTTGACTGAGTATTTATAGAAATAAATGATATACTCCTTCCAACAAAAGCGCAGAAAAGTAGTATTTTTGTATGAAACTCAATCATCAGAATTGTAATATGCAGACCAAGGCCACCCAAACTATTTTTATGATTTTTGTGGTTTTCCAGCTGTTCTAGTTACCATGTGACTGTGTGTTGTCACAAGTGACTAGTGATGTCAATGTTTGAGTGGCCTTGATGATGCAAATATGCACTGTAACCAATAATAAATCAATGATCTGGGATGGGTTGTTCAAAGCTTGATTAGCCGTAATCAGGCTGGGATAACTCTTTAAAAACCTATGCAATCAAACCTGGACTATTCGGGCTTTTAACAACCCAGCTCTGGTTGTTACACAGGTCAAATAATATTAACACTGATTGGASCTGTGCTTAACTCTCCTAGTGTAGGAACCAAACACAGGCTAGTAAAGAATTAATGCATCAGCCATTTGCAAGAGATGAAAACATAATCTTGTCAAATGAAATCCAGTGATTTTTAACGGCTATACCAAGATGACTGTTTAGAAATTAAAGCCTAACAACTTTTTGATGGCTTGCCAAATCAATGCTAAAAAGGCCAACAAAAATGTTTCTAGCAGTGCAAGGATTGTTGAAATAATAAAACTAAAATGATATACAAATGAACTTGTTCCAGTAGTATTGATAGACAATTATAAAACTCATTAATAATGTTCATAAACTATTAACTCCAATAAGGGTTGTCTATTTTKGTCTGGTMATTGACCTYGTAAATCTGATACAACACTTKTTGATTTACMACATGATAGTTGCCATTGAGAAAACCCAATACCAGCAAAGGTGGCAATTTTGATCTTGCATCATAGACTTCCACTAGGTTTTGAAGTGAGCAAACAGATAACAACACTCTTAAACAACAGATGGCTTGCTTTTTGCACTAAATTATGCATGCTTTATAGTGACTAAACTCATTAGTTACCTTGTTCATCGTTTTTTTGTTTTTGTTTTATTCATCTTGCTGCGATCTGCTGTGATGCAATGTTGATTAGTGTTCCGTTTACGTGTTACACAAGCCTCAAGATTGTAATTAACATACAACATGGCCACTCATGTTGTAATTAACTATAATATATACATTTTGCCCGGATGGATCCTGAGGCCTTGATTTGGGATACCAGTTGTTCACATGGATCATGTATTGTGGATTTTTCATTCCAATCATTAACAATGTTTGTATTCAGGATTCTAGAGTCTTTTGCCTGTAAAGGGATATGATACATTYGTGGTCATGTCTTTGACCAGTTTGGAATATTTTCCACTATTAAATCTGCCGTGTGGGTTGCCTTCAAAGGGACAAGTGTGTCAGGGACAGTGGGGGGCAACTCCCCTAAAAAAATGGATAGGGGTGGGTGCTCAATGGATCTTGAAGGGTCTGAAATGTGACTTGCATAGATTTCATGCAGTCTCCAGCTGACAGTTGCTAYTATTTACTATTGTTCACCTGAGCGTCACTTTGACAATATCTATTGTGAGTGGTCAGTCAATCGTATCGAATGCATGTGCTTTATGTATTTTTCGGGATCCCTGTGTTTCCAGCGAAGTCGCATATCACTCTGGGAAACATCAGTTGACCTCAAGAACTGGACAAGATGGCGGGTGATTTGAACGTCTGACACAAATTCCATTACACACTTTAAATCGTCTTTTACATTGGCTGTTCGCCTCTGTCCACCATGGTTAAGAGTCATTGTTTGCCTGCAGAGCCGAAGAGACGAAGGAGCTTGAGCGGTATGTACATCATATTATATATAAACTACATTGGAGTTGTMCAGTTTAGGGATGCAGGTTTGGTTAATTGAATTAATTTGTTCTCCTGAAAACTTTGACGCTTTTGTTTGATGACCTGTTCATTTAAAGGGTTTAATGTAGTTTAGATATAGCTTGGCTTGACGTTGAAGATTGGGACGCGAAGATGGGAAAGAAAGATAGTTTAAATTCTTACTCGAAGAACACTCAAAGTGCCAGCACGATTGATTTACATGCATATAGTTTGTCATCAAAAATTGATGGACGAAGCTGTGAAAGCCTTTCAAGTTCGCCTCAATTATTTAGTAAACATTTATATCCTGTGTTTCCTTGTGAATTAAGGAGAAAGGCAAACGTGCTGGATTTTTCCTCATACTTTGTCATGTTCTATCGACAAATCGTTAGCAAAAGARATTATTGTTCKGTTCTACTATTAGATTCAACTTGTATCTCCGGGTCACAAGTTCGTTTGAGTTTTGATATCCTATTACAATAACAAAAATGCGATGTTTTGCAGCTCATGAAATAACAACAAACATTTTAAAAAGCCTCTCCATGTCATTTAATAATTGGAAGAACTTCGAACTCTTTGGCACGCAGGAATGCATTAACAAGAGATGGTTAAAATGCTTCTAGACTCTTTTATTTCTCACTGTTTACATAGGTAATTCCAGTTGCTTGCGTTAGAATCAYTTCATCACGTATTGATCGATGAAATTAGTGYAGCTTTCGCAATGAAACATCCTAATAATAGTGAGCCATTCAACCTTGAAGAAACTTCAAACRATGTTGAAACACATGTGGGTTTGATATGTKGTGCATGATAATAATAGCAAATTTATTCGTCTTTTTACTTCTCGCAAACCTAGATTATTGTTCTCTTGTCAAAGGTTTGTCACTTTTCTATTATCTGAATGTTGAAAGAAAATGCAAATATAAGCTGGTCTACTTTTGTCAGTAAAATGAGTGCTGCTCAATATCAATACGTCAAGTATCATAATAGTTTTTTTAAAAGACGCCCAGTCTTTGTCAATGYATTTAAGTATCTAAGTGAAAACTGTTTTCAAAAAGAACTGTCACCAAAGAGAATGAACTCGAGCTTAATCAAAAGTAAAGTAAACAAACTGTACGCCTCTATCGCTTTACGTCATTACATAACATTAAAGAAAGAATTTATACTTGGTCAGGTGTTTCAAAGTTTTAAAAATCGTTTCTCTTTTTTGATTTTCGAGTACCCAGCTTATTTTTAAATTATTATTTATTTTACCTACCCTAGAGCTTTTCATGGAAACAATTATATCCCGCTGCGAGTGAACAAAGCAAAATATTTGCGGCGAACAATAGACATTTTGTTGCTTTTAAATACACCTTGACAGAGTAACAAAATGATAAAACCCGTTTGTTTTCAGAATATACTTACTTCTTTCATATTTCTTTATTTCATTTTTCAATATTTTTTGCATTTTTCTTTTCTATTTTTTCGTTTGTCTTTTTTTTTTCCCTTTTTCCCCTCCCTTTCGTTCATTTTTGTCTTTGATCCAAACGTCTATTTGATAAAACTCATTCCGGTGCTACCTTCGTGCGTTCATGACTTGTTTCCTTCGTAATTTCGAAAACAATACTAAAAACTAACAGGAAGTACTACAARGACGACTTTGTATGATTAACGCCCACTTTATTTCGCCATATTTATGGTCTACAAGTTCAGTTACACGTGTACTACAAATCTAAAAGTTGTATCTCCTGGGTTACAATACTTTGCTTTTTTTCCTAAATTACTAACATCATGCCGGTCAAGGATGGTTCTCTGTCAAGGAAAGGTAGATTTTCGTGGCACGGCTCRCACAAACATGGTATGTTACTAGTAGGAATAGGTTTGTTGTTAACCGAAGCAGGACTTGAGTAGTTCATAATCTAACTTTGGCGTTATCAATTCTTCGTGGTTTTCATAAGTTTATTGACGAATAGGTTTGTTTGGTTATGTAAGATTAATTCATTTTGATTTGTTGTTTCGCGGAATAATTAAAATGATTATTGTACTTCATGTTTGATAATCATTTATGCATTTATCTAATTACACAACACAGCACGACTTTGTGATAAATGCTGTACTTGATATAGCAGACATATTTATCTTTGCTCTGTATAATCTACGACACACAAAGCAATAGAGCAAGTTATCACATAGAGCAAGTTCTCAATGTAGTTCACAAATTAAATTCAAGTAGGGTGAGGCGTATATATCGATTCAAATCTATTTTAAAGCTCTCTATTTTTTTTGATTAAAGACGACTTATTAGTCAAATCTGCGACTAAAACAGTTGACGACATCACAATGGCGCGGAAGTTGATTTGTACGTCGCATCTCACTTGTGCCAAATGGAATGTATACTTCTTATAAATCGGCGTTTGAAAAAGTCAAATGTATTATCCGCCATTTTGAGACGTAAAATCGATTCACGAAACACGAATATCATGGGATTTAACACACTAGAGTTGGCCACGTTATGTCTACCGCATAGGAAGACCGGTAGGGTGACGCCCTTAAGAGTATGATTGTCGTATGCAAGCGTGTTTAGTCGAAGTGATTCGTATATTATCGATATGAATTTGTTTCAAATTATTCTGTCTCTACCAYTTCTACCATGCAACCGTGAAGGTCAATGTGGTTTCATTGATGAGAACGTGCGTTAACGGAAACGTTTTTCTATGAACTACTTTCAGTTCTTCCGGTGGTAACTCTAACTTTTGTATGAATTGATCAATTRGTATTGTYGAATCTACCTTTTGTGTCTAGTCGTTGATTTCTGGTGACCGGYRAYTCATTAATTGGCTCTCAAWTTCACATTGATGTATAGCAASCCWCTGGTAGGACGGCCTGGARAAAGTGGYATATAGGGGTGCTCAACAGACCCTTTAGCAAGTTTTAGGGTCAAAAATATGATTTTCACGTACCTTTTCGGGWCAGTTTTCAAACATTTCACACAGACTAAATTGACAGTGATTGATTTTTTATATTCATACTTTTTAAAGTTCTTCGGAAGGCAAATTATTTGATGATATAAGAGCTTATCAATAGCTTTTTATATTGATAAAAGAATTACAAGTGTTCGTACATTTTAGGGTCCGAAATCGAAAACAGGCGAATTGACTTATGCATACGGTCAAAGAAGCGTCGAGCTTCCTAGCTGTGTGCACGGCTTTTTCCTGAAGAGAGCATCAGCTCTGCCTGTTTTTGTGGTTTT